ACTAGTTCTAGAAGATAACAGGGGCGTATACAGGATTTTGTACAGAGGGGACTTAACACTTTTTTTCAGGGGGGATGGGGCTCAGAACCCTTTGGGGTCTGAAACCCCCCAAGATTTCACTTAACCAGGGCTAATTGCTGAGTAATGTTATGAAGGTGGAGTGGGGATAAGTAATGTTATAAAAGGGGGAATGGGGGGTGGGGGGTAATTGCCCCCCCTCTTTTAGGCCTCCGTGTGTCAAGATATTTGAACTACAAACTACAAACAAGCTGTGTTCAATGTTTAACTATAGATATATTTACTTTTAATAGTAAAATCTACAAAACTTTGCTTAGTTCCGGAGCGGTCGATTTTGGCCATTTTAAAATCCCGTGTTGACGAAGCGGTCGATATCGATCGCTGTCACTATCTCTAAAACCATGCATTCCGTTCCTCAGGGAACATTTCTAAAATGAATTGAAAATTTCAAAAAAATATTTTGAAAAATATTAAGTTCGGACATAGACGGTTAATTAGAGCACGTATAGACAATCTTCTTCCTTCTTCTCTTTCATTAGAGCAAGTATAAACAATCTCCTTCCTTCTTCTCTTTCATCAGAGCAGGTATAACCAATCTTCTTCCTTCTTCTCTTTCATTAGAGCAGGTATAGACAATCTTCTTCCTTCTTCTCTTTCATCAGAGCAGGTATAACCAATCTTCTTCCTTCTTCTCTTTCATTAGAGCAGGTATAGACAATCTTCTTCCTTCTTCTCTTTCATCAGAGCAGGTATAACCAATCTTCTTCCTTCTTCTCTTTCATTAGAGCAGGTATAGACAATCTTCTTCCTTCTTCTCTTTCATCAGAGCAGGTATAACCAATCTTCTTCCTTCTTCTCTTTCATTAGAGCAGGTATAGACAATCTTCTTCCTTCTTCTTTTTCATCAGAGCATGTATAAACAATCTTATTCCTTCTTCTCTTTCAATAGAGCAGGTGTAGACAATCTTCTTCTTGTTTCTCTTTCATTAGAGCATTCTCTCATATCGCATTTTCTAGCCTTTAATGATGTTGCCTAGAATGAGATGCAATTCTGATTGTAATGTTTATCGAGAAAAGAGTTGCAAAACCATTAAAAACTTGGTAGAATTCACTAAAAACTTTTTTATTTAAATCACTTGAAAATTTATTAGATTATCGAGATTCAATGAAAATTGTTGCTGTTCCTTACTTTATATATAGGAATGTACATTGTATTATTGTATTATTGAATTATCATATTATTGTATTATTGTATTATCATATTATTGTATTATTCTATTATTGTATTATCATACTATTGTATTATTGTATTATTGTATTATTATCAGGGAGTTCTCTGTGAACCGTTATCCTGTTTACTGCATGGTTGGAAGCGCCTGGAGAGTGCTCTTGGTGGTATTCTACCTGGAGCTAGGTAAACTTTATATAACATTGATATTTTTAAAGAAACACTTGCCATATAGAATATTCTAACCGCTACCTCTTTTCAATTTGGAGCCGATTTATTCCTTCCTGAACCCAATTAACGTTAAATTCGATGTTTCAAATTTGAACCGGCAGTAGTTAGTTCAACTACGTAGCTCATATTCATTATATTCGGTCCCCGATTTCGTTGACATTTATTCTTTTGAACTATGAATTCTGATATTAGGTTGCAAAGATATAGGGATAGAAAATTAGAGTTTGTGGCGTGTGTTTAGTTCCATTGCAAAAATGTCAAATTTAAAAAATCCTTTTGATTTAAGGGTTCTTATCACCGGAGCTGGGATTGTTGGAAACCTGTGGGTTTCAATGTTTCACTACCACGGATACAGGAATATTACTCTATCCGAACCCAAGGAAGGACGAAGAGAAATTGTCAAGGGTTTAGGTTTGTTGAAAGGATTGTAAACGTAATTTCTAGAGACCTTCCATGCAAAGATGACGATGCCTGATTTACAACGATACCCTTTAAAGCTGTGTCTGATCAAGGCATGCATTAGATATCCTTTTTTTTCTTTAAACTGTTCATTTTCATTTGTGGTTACTCTGCAAAAGTGTCCTGCGTATTTCTTGGAGAAATTCACAGAACTAAACACTTTTTGATTCAGTAAAACGACGGCAACCTTCCACATTTTTGATCAGGTTAAGATTTCCAGGTTCCGTTGTAAGTCAGGCATTGCTATCTTTAAATTAAGGGGTCACTTAAACTTACGCTTACAATCCCTTTTATTCGCCTTTTTAATGCAGATTCGTCTTTTTAATGCTGGTTATCATACTCACAGTGTTTGTTTTTACTCAGTCTGTATCTCTTTTACAGTGTTTGTTTTTACTCAGTCTGTATCTCTTTTATAGTGTTTGTTTTTACTCAGTCTGTATCTCTTTTATAGTGTTTGTTTTTACTCAGTCTGTATCTCTTTTACTTAATTGTTTGTTTACTTAATTGGGGAAATATATCTATCATCTGAATCAACGTCAATCCTAATGTTAAAAACGCCTCCGTTTTTAATCTAAATTGCATTACTTTTTTTCAAATTTTTTTTAGAGGGAGTTTTAGGTTGTTAGTCGATACCTAGGTAATCACAAAAATGATGCATATAATAATATGATACCTTTTTAATTTTAATCTATATTTCTTTAAAGAGAAAAACTATATCCCGCGGCCCAATAAATACTGATAAAAAAGAGATTTCACAATTCCTAAATGATGATTATTAGATACTGGGTGCACAGTATTGACTCCAGTAGAACTAGGAGCTCAGGAGGACGGAGTAGATGATGAGCAGGACGGTTTTAATATAATTGTAGAGTGCTCAGGATATCCACCAGCACTACAGGAGGTAGGACTGGTTTGATATCATTATATATTGTTCAGGGTATTCTCCAACACTACAGGAGGTAGGACGGGGTTGATATCATTTTATAGTGCTCAGGGTATTCTCCAAGACTACTGCAGGTAGGACGGGTTTAATATCATTATATAGTTCTCAGGGTATTCTCCAACACTCCAGGAGGTAGGACGGGTTTGATATCATTATATAGTGCTCAGGGTATTCTCCAACACTCCAACACTATAACTGAAGATAGCACGGGTGTAATGTAATTGTAGAGTGCTCAGGGTATTCTCAAGCACTACAGGAGGTAGGACGGGTTTTAAAATCATTATATAGTTCTCAGAGTATTCTTAAGCACTACATGAGGTAGGACGGGTTTAATATCATTATATAGTTCTCAGGGTATTCTCCAAGACTCCAACGCTACTGCAAATGTAATTGTAGAGTGCTCAGGGTATTCTCAAGCACAACAGGAGGTAGGACGGGATTAATATCATTATATAGTGCCCAGGGTATTCTCCAGCACTAAAGGAGGTAGGACGGGTTTAAAACTTTAATATCATTATTTAGTGCTCAGGGTATCCACCAGTACTACAGAAGGTATAAACTTAATCAATTATTAAAAATGTTTAATTGATAATCCTAGAATTCTAGATGCAGACGGGTTTATTTTGAATTAGGAAGCTATTTATCATGCTTCTTTAAAGGAACCATGATTACTCGCCTCAAACTTTACTATCTTTAACCTGTTTTTGACGTCGTATGATCTCAAATAGAGTTAAAACGTTATGAGAAAACAAGTTTACATGAAAGCAACTACAAACTTTAAAAATTAGAAACATTGACATTTCAGAATTATTTCTTTCTTAAATTTGAATTTTTATATGAATTGTATTACCGAAATATTATTCTTGTGCAGTGTACACAGACCCATTTCACTAAAAATTGATTTTCAAATTACTGTAAACCGGTCTGTTTTAAATCAACATCAAATAAACATAAAATCACTAAAATGTGGTTTTCCTATTCCACGATGTTATTTGTCCTGCACTCTGTATGAGTTTAGGCAATCTCGATGTCTGGACGTAAAGCTGTTGTTGTTATATTTGGTTGTGCTCCAACAGGTTCACCCATGAATCTATATCCAGAAGAGGTTTTCAGGTCAGAACTCAGAAGGTTTTGTAGTAAATTTTTCTTTTTAAACTCGATGAAAACTTTTTTATTTAATCTAACTTTAAATCGATAAAATGAGTCTCTAATCTTGAACTTCAAAACAATCCTGTGAAATTTCTTTTAAATGAATTGAGTCTTTGTCGCAAACTCTAATTTTCTAATCCCTATATCTCTACAAAAGACCTCAAATTATAAATTCTTATAGATAAAATAATCTAAGTTTGAAATGTGAAAGGTTTACACCATCAGGTTACAAAGATATAAGACTGAAGTCATTTCGAAAACAAATTGATGAAATATAAGACATATGCTATAATGATATGTTGTTTATTATAGAAAAATTAAGAAAATTAATCAATTAATCAATATAGTGATTATTAGCAAATAGTGGAATGATTGTTGTCTTCATTCAATCTTTTGTGTAGAAATGTTGCTAAATATTTTGTATTTTCTAGTTGTTATTATGTAATAGTGGAGACTTTGCCACAAACTCAAATTTTGTGTAAATCGCTATATAAACCTTTGATATTTAAAACTTAGATTATTTGATCCAACAGAATTCATGGTTTGAAATATCTAAGGTAAACGACATCAGGTTGCAAAGATATAATTGATTAGAAAATTTGAGTTTGTGGCAAAGACTCAATTTTTTTAGGAAAGAGTTGACAATTGTTGGTTGTCTCGTTAACCCCAATACTTACTCCGAGGCGCTCAGGTATAAGTTTAAAAACATCCCTGGATACTTACTCCGAGGCGCTCAGGAATAAGTTTAAAAACATCCCTGGATACTTACTCAGAGGCGCTCAGGTATAAGTTTAAAAACATCCCTGGATACTTACTCCGAGGCGCTCAGGTATAAGTTTAAAAACATCCCTGGATACTTACTTCGAGGCGCTCAGGTATAAGTTTAAAAACATCCCTGACAACCCCTGCACTGCACACAGAACAACAACAAAAATTCAAAACTACTTTTTAGGGAAGTTAAAGGAATTTTACTTTCCCAAGACCGATTTTGCCTATTAGTCGATTGAACCCGTGGTTAAGTAAAAATCTTACTGCATGTTAAGTAACTTAACTTCCCTCTGTTAGTGAAAAAAAAAGGTTGGTAATGTAGGCCAAACGGCAGCTTTTTTCCTACAATTTACAAGGATAACATTTTTCTTTAAACATATAAATTCTTAACTTTGAATTTGGTCATCAACTTTAAATATTAAAAGATTAAATTGAACAAAAAAATACTGAATAAATCCCGTTTAGGTTTTTGTGGACGAATTTTAACTTTGGTTGGTTACTGGAAATATTTATTTGTCCTAACAACACGATTTTGAATTTGTACAAATAAGTTATTCAGATTATACAGATTAATTTTTGCGTTATTCTTGCGAATATTGAAACAGTAAAAAGAAACATTAAATTATTAAAGACAATTATCTTGAACCTTTTCTCTAGTCTGGCAGCCAACATGGGAGATAGATATTTAAACTTTGACAAACTTGGTGTCAAGGTTTTCAAACTTACGGTAAGAAAACATATTAATACATATCTTCTATTTCAACTTTTAATTGTTGCTCAATATTTTACAATTTTCTCTGTAATGCAACATAATAACAAGTTTTGCGGATTTACAATTTTGTTTTTTTGGAGTTTCAAAATTTTACAAAAATCAAAAAATTTTGAGACAACTTCTTGAAATTCTGAGTATCTGGGGTCATGTGAGGTATCACACAAAATTTGGGACCAATCGGTTCACCCGTTTTGACGTTTATTATACACAAACAAACAGGCACCCAGATAAGCAAAGTATATATGTATAGAAGTTTGAAAACAAAAGTCTTTTTCATTAAAGAGGTTTTTTTTTCTGAAAATTGGGAATACATTATTTTTAAGAAGATTAGAATAAAGCCAATGATGTCACTTCTCAGAAAGGGTTTATTTTTTTGGCTAATCTTTCTTTTTTAAAGTCTTCTTCGTGTTTTTTTTTTCAAAATTTAAATCAAATTTAAATCATTCTTCTCTTACTTTTTTCGAAAGTTTTTACATCTTTTGCGCAAATTATCTAATATGTAGGATTTCTAGGAATATGAGAAAGCACTCTCAAGTTTGAAGGCAGGAGAGATTTCTAAAGCAGTGTTTCATCTGACAAGCTCTATATAAACAACTGCAAAATTGATAATTATGATTTAGAATATTTTAATAAATAGATTCTATATATTACACGATACAATGAAATGTGTAAAGTGTTTTTCTGACAAAAGAAAAGATTTCAGAAGAAATAAACTAGAAAATTTTAATTAGCTTTCTTTTGTGATTTTTGATGATTTTTGTTTTAGTTTTGCGAAATGCTTCTTTTTGTGGTCGAAGGTCAGAAAATGAAAACCTTTTGAACCATCGTACATTGAGAACCAGACAACTCTGGAACAGAAAGACACCTTTTAGACTCAAGTTATGACTTTAAAGAGTCAAATAAACATAAACGATCAGATATACAGATTATCTGTAATTTGATCTACATAGAAAAACTTATCAAATATTTGTTTCTTATGAATATTAGAAATATTCTTGTCTGCTGCTCAATCTCACAACATTATCTTCAAGAGGAAGAGATCTCTCCTAAAATAATTTATTTTTGAGGATTTTTTAAAATTTTCATCCTCTTAAAATTTACTTTAATATTTTTTACATATTTGTTTTGGCAAATATAATTCCAACCTTAGAAATTTTCTGTCTGTGCATCTCCCAAGGCCAGTCTGTTCCGTCATCGTCCTGTATACAGTCTCCAAACACACCCTCACCCTCACACATAAATTCTAAAATATAAATCTACAATTACCCAACTACTCCCCTCACCCTCACACATAAATTCTAAAATATAAATCTACAATTACCCAACTACTCCCCTCACCCTCAGACATAAATTCTAAAATATAAACCTACAGTTACCCAATCACTCTAACGCACATATCCTAAAATATTAGTCTACAATTTTCCCCCCTCACCCTCATACATAAATTCTAAAATATAAATCTTCAATTACTCCACTCTCCTTTTTATCCTCTGTTATACCTTTTCTGATAAAAACCTCGCAAAATTTATTTATTATCCTCAAATATTTTTAGATATTTTTTAAAGTAAGCGTCTGACTAGACATGGTAGTTGAGCTGAAAATGCAGTATTTCTAAGTATGGTTGAACCTATAAAGTCTATATTATCTTAGTACAGTTATTTAGATAGATGTGTCCAATCTGAATAGTCAGGAACTGACCCTTTGATCAAGAGCGTAAAGATAAGCGGATAGACGAGCGTGCGCAGCACAGGGAGGCTCAGAGCACAAAAGAAGGACTCACTCCTATTCTTTATCCCAGTGAGGTCTGACGCGTGGCTAATCATAAATCAAATACAAAGTTTCTTCATTTCAGATAAAATGGGAGTATTTCTATAGAGTGATCCACAAAAGAACAGGATCAAACATGTAAAGAAATTTTTTAGAAATCATTTGAGATCTATCAGACGTTTGTATGGTTTAAAATTATTTGGTAAGAGTGAACATTCAATCATTATAATCCTCCTGGATTGTCCAACTCAACTACCATGTCTAGCCAGACACTCCCTTTAATTAAGATTAGCAAACCTATCCACGAAGCAGGATGCCTGTGTCCAGCTCTCAACCAGAGATCATATAGTTCCAATCCCTTCATTTTATCCAGTAGGAACCTAATATACAGTGATATAGATCCAATTCCTTCATCTTATCCAGTAGGAACCTAATATACAGTGATATAAATCCAATTAAGGTTTACAACGAACGAAAACTTTCGCAAAATAATCCAAAATTTCGAATTTTCTTTCGTATTTTGTATCTTTTTCGTACAATTTCGCATTTTTTTTCGCGAAAATAAATTTTGAGAAAGGAAGCGAAAACAATGCGGAATTTCATAAAAAAAATATTCGACACTTTTGCAAAAAATTTCGAGACTACTTTCGAATTTAATTTTTGACTTATACCAAGCTTTCAAACAACATGGATACACATAAACATGGAAGCAAAACGAAGCTGTCAATTAACCGCTTCTCTTTATTTACTAGTAAACTTGTTATTTGAAAAATCTTGTTAGAAATCAAAACTTGTATAGAAAAGTCATCTTCATTATATTGATATAAACGCCGACCACTGTATCTCATTGAAACCAAATATTCGATGCACTTTGAGGATAGTGTTTTGGTTCATTTAAAACAAGAAATGAACTGTCGTAGACCTCAGATATTTCAAACTATGAATTCTGTTAGATCAAATAGTCTAAAAATGAATTATAAAAGGTTTACATATAATAAGGTTGCAAAAATACACATAGGGATTATATGTTCCTTTGCATTGATCCTGAAAATTGTTGATAAATGAGAAACCTGCAGTGTGAAGAAACCCTATCTGTCCAATCCTTCTCTGATTGAGCAGGTTTTCCTTGCTTCCAGGTTTCCAGGATAGGTAAACTCAATCTATATTCTCCGTTCCATTCTATCAACTCAACACTCCTATAGGATAGAAATATAGATTCTATATATTTATATACAGTGAGAACGAGAAAATTCTGGTATATGAAGACGATATTAAAGTAATAATTCAGAGTATTTAATGTTCTTACAAAGCAAAAAATTTCACTACAGTGAATATTTTTTCAAATTATAAGTTTACAATTAATCAAATAGAATCTGTTTTAATATACACTACACAGCATCTCTTGACTTCTTTGTTTATGTGTATCCATTCTGTTTGACAGCTTGAAATAAAAATTTAAATCGGAATTTGTCTTTATTGTATTGATATAATCACCTACCACTGTAGTAACTTTTTTCATCTCACTTATTCAGTGAAATGTGTCTGTTTGCACTGTTGAATTGCTAGCCATGTATCTCATATTCAGTGAAATGTGTCTGTTTGAATTGCTAGCCATGTATTTCACTTATTCAGTGAAATGTGTCTGTCAGCAGCTAGCCATGTATTTCACTTATTCAGTGAAATGTGTCTGTTTGCACTGTTGTATTGCTAGCCATGTATCTCATATTCAGTGAAATGTGTCTGTTAGCACTGTTGAATTGCTAGCCATATATTTCACTTATTCAGTGAAATGTGTCTGTCAGCACTGTTGAATTGCTAGCAATGTATCTCACTTTTTCAGTGAAATGTGTCTGTTTGCACTGTTGAATAGCTAGCCATGTATCTCATATTCTTTAAACTATTTTAAGCCATAACATGAGTCTGAAAGGCGTCTTTATTTTCCAGAGTTCAAACGCGACAGTTTAAACTGTTGTATTTAAAAAAAAATTTCGACATTTTAACATGTTTCTGAAGAAATAAATATTAGACTCGACTTATAAAGAGAAATCACAATTGAAAATAATATTTTTTTTCAGACACAAAAAATAATAATCTTTTATCCTTGATCAGATAAAGAATTGTACACTTTGTGCATAAGACATGCCGCTCTATAATGTGAATCAGACATGCCGCTCTAAAATGTAAATCAGACATGCCGCTCTAAAATGTGAATCAGACATGCCGCTCTATAATTTGAATCAGACATACCGCTCTAAAATGTGAACCAGACATGCCGCTCTAAAATGTGAATCAGACATGCCGCTCTATAATATGAATCAGACATGCCGCTCTAAAATGTGAATCAGACATGCCGCTCTAAGCACTGTTGAATTGCTAGCCATGTATCTCATATTCAGTGAAATGTGTCTGTTAGCACTGTTGAATTGCTAGCCATGTATTTCACTTATTCAGTGAAATGTGTCTGTCAGCACTGTTGAATTGCTAGCCATGTATCTCATATTCAGTGAAATGTATCTGTTCGCACTGTTGTATTGCTAGCCATGTGTTTCACTTATTTAGTGAAATGTGTCTGTCAGCACTGTTGAATTGCTAGCAATGTATCTCACTTTTACAGTGAAATGTGTCTGTTTGCACTGTTGAATTGCTAGCCATGTATCTCATATTCTTTAAACTATTTTAAGCCATAACATGAGTCTGAAAGGCGTCTTTATTTTCCAGAGTTCAAACGCGACAGTTTAAACTGTTGTATTTAAAAAAAAATTTCGACATTTTAACATGTTTCTGAAGAAATAAATATTAGACTCGACTTATAAAGAGAAATCACAATTGAAAATAATATTTTTTTTCAGACACAAAAAATAATAATCTTTTATCCTTGATCAGATAAAGAATTGTACACTTTGTGAATCAGACATGCCGCTCTAAAATGTGAATAAGACATGCCGCTCTAAAATGTGAATCAGACATACCGTTCTAAAATATGAATCAGACATGCCGCTCTATAATGTGAATCAGACATGCCGTTCTAAAATGAAAGTGTATTAAAAATCTCGTCTCTCTAGTCCATACAAAGTCCTTAGAGTGTGGAATTTGACTCCATTGGACGGTTCCAAAATTAAAATCAAATCTTGAAAAAATTTCCGAATTTAAAAGTGAGTATAACCTGTATGTTTGTGTTGAACATATATCCTCTGCAATAGCTGCAACCTCATCCTCACCAAGCTCATCATCCTCACCATCCAACCTGTCATCCGCTGATCTAAAAATTACAAATTCAAATTTAAAGGATTGTTAAGTGTAGTTTACAATAACCCTTCATTGAAAGATAGAAATGCCCGATTTACAACCGTACCCTTGAAACCTTAATCTGATAAAAAAATCTGTGAATTTCTTCATTGTTTCTTAAACGCAAGAAATGCGCAAGACAATTTTGCAGAGAAATCACGTCCACAAATGTCAAAAAACTGTTTAAATAAACAAATTATGGATATCTAATTCATACCGGATCAGACAAAGCTTTTAAAGATACCGTTGTAAATCAGGCATTGTCATCTTTACATGGAGAGTCACTTGAAATTACGCTTACAGTCCCTTTAAGAAAATTATTTTCAATCCTTATCTCGACCCGACCTAGCCAAACATAATTATTTCGAATGCACTTTATTGTCTGAAGATGTTAAAAGTAAACCCTATTAAGGGAGTAGAGAATATTAAAGGGACTGTAAGCGTAATTAAAAGTGACCCTCCATGCAAAGATGTCAATGCCCGATTCAAAATGGTATTCTTAAACATTTTGTCTCGGCAAGAATGCAGCAAGGAGACAATACTGAGTAGAAGGAAATATGAATATTTGACCTACCTAAGAGACAATACTGAGTAGAAGGAAATATGAATATCTGACCTACCTAAGAGACAATACTGAGAAGAAGGAAATATGAATATCTGACCTACCTAAGAGACAATACTGAGTAGAAGAAAATATGAATATCTGACCTACCTAAGGTTAGAATCTATCATTAGACCAATAAATCTACAAGCATCACATCTAGGATGACTGACTATAGGACGGGGTATCTTGTAACCTGAATAAATACAAGGGAATTATTTTTTTTAAATATTAGATTTTTTATGTTTAAAAGTTATCTTTTGATATCTTTTGCACAAATGAGCCGAAGAAAATGAAAAATCGCCTCATGCGTACTCTTTTCTTGCTTTTTTTAATCAATCTCATTGGTTTAAATGTAATTTTCCAGAAGTTTGTATGGATTCTATCCTAACCTAGGTTTGTATGTATCCTAACCTAGGTTTGCATGTATCCTAACCTAGGTTTGTATGTATCCTAACCTAGGTTTGTTTGTATCCTAACATAGGTTTGTATGTATCCTAACCTAGGTTTGTATCTATCCTATTCTAGGTTTGTATGTATCCTAACCTAGGCTTGTATGTTTCCTAATTTAGGTTTGTATATATCCTAACCTAGGTTTGTATGTATCCTAAACTAGGTTTGTATGTATCCTAACCTAGATTTGTATGTATCCTAACCTAGGTTTGTATGTATATTAATCTAGGTTTGTATGTATCCTAACCTAGGTTTGTATGTATCCTAAACTAGGTTTGTATGTATCCTAACCTAGGTTTGTATGTATCCTAGTCTAGGTTTGCATGTTTCCTAACCTAGGTTTGTATGCATCCTAACCTAGGTTTGTAAGTATCCTAACCTAGGTTTGTATGTATCCTAACCTAGGTTTGTATTTATTTTCTCCTAGGTTTGGATGTATTGCTATAGCCTTAGTAGAAGTAAATATTTCCATTTATGATTGCGCCGATTGAAGGATTCATAACTCAAATTGGATAATGAGACAGATAGAAGGATAGATGTTACCGCCATACTATTTATATTGGTTCAGAATAGACAACAAACACATAATTGAACCTGATTGGATCAGGCGCTAATGGACTTGGCATACAGGAGTGACGCATCCTAACCTAGGTTTGTATTTATCTTAACTTAGGTTTGCATGTATCCTAACCTTGGTTTGTATGTATCCTAACCTAGGTTTGTATTTATCTTAACCTAGTTTGTATGTATCCTAACATTGGTTTGTATGTATCCTAACCCAGGTTTATATGTATCCTAACCTAGGTTTATGTGTATCCTAACCTAGGTTTGTATGTATCCTAACCTAGGTTTGTATGTATCCTAACCTAGGTTTGTATATATCACACCCTAGGTTTATATGAATCCTATCCTAGGTTTATGCGTATCCTAACCTAGGTTTATATGTATCCTAACTAGGTTTTTTAGTATCCTAACATTTTAGATTTGAGGTATTCTAACCTGGATTTGTAGGTATATCCAACCCTGAAGAAAATATCCATGTTTCACAAAGTTTAAGAAGTATGAGACAACCAAAACAGAATAGCAGTCTCATCCCTCCAACCTTTAAATAATTATTTTAAAATATTCATCGGACGATGTGAAAATGATTTTATTACTGCATTTATGAATTCGAGCAGTTAAACACGAATCTTTTTTTTCAAGCTCCGCGCAAAACTTGATTTTAAAGTTTTTATTACCTCTAAAGACGACATATCCCACACTATATTTTAATTTTCACTTTAAAGATTTTACTGTTAGTTGAACCAGGTTTGAATTAGCACTAAGATCAATGTTCTCAGGGTCTAACCATCAGTTGTAAAAGAAAGAGATAATCAAGTTTAAGATCAAAGCACTCAGCTCTCTCACACAAAATAATAATATTTTGAGCCGAAACTTTCCCCCCCCCCATACCCTTCTCTTATTGGACCCTTGCCAGCACCCCAGACACTGTGATTTAAAGCTTTAATATCTTGACTTACGTGTTCACGGTATCTCAAAGCTTTCTATCCCCAAAGAAGAATGAATAGCTTGACTCGAAGTACATATAACGTAGAAGGGTCAGGTGTACATTGTACAATGTATATACATATATTGTATTACAGAATGTCTAATTCAACATGGGAATTGAATGACAACTTTGAGATCGTATTTGTTTGGAACCAGAATATATTTTTGTATATAAGTGTTAAGTGTTAATCTCTGAGTGTGCGTTTGTATATTTGTAAGTCCGATCATAACCCCTTCACGAATTTTCCTCAAATTTTGATCTGGGGAATTTGGTTTAACCACGGTAATGTTCTTAGCTTGGCCGGTTTAAAAGATTTAAGTTGAAAAGCTGTGTTCCAGAGCCAGTTGAATCATGTATGCCTGCATGAAGTATGTTATGCAAACGGTAATAGGGTGTTAATTTTTCGACAAAACCGTAAGATATGTTGTATTACGTGTGTCTGGAATATTTCTGCATGTCGAAAATACAGTGAAATAGATGTATTTTTGGTTTACACGTTTTTTTTTAGCTTTACATAATACAATCGTATAGCAAATGAAACAAAAACAAACATATTATATACTCTGGCAGACGAAACATTCTACGGATTACATACAGTCGTCGTCGTATTTATCTAAACAACGAAGGCGACTTTTTTATTAACATTTTTTATTTCTAGCAAGATTTCAAACTACATGAATGCACAATTGCACAAAGACATGGAAGCAAATTGAAGCTGTCAATTAACAGCTTCCATTTAAAAAAAGCTGGTTAGAAACAAAACTGAAATACAAAAGTCGTCTTTATTGTTTTGATATAAACATCGACCACTGTATTAACTTGTAGATATCACCATATTTAATCAAAAATAATTTACAAAGACCATCTCAAAGTCGTCCCTTAATTTCCATGTTTATTGGGACACCCTGTAAAATGGAGTGGAAAAGAAAGAATGAAAGCAGTTTGGGACGGGAAGGATTAAAGGAGAGAATTGATTGTGGAGAAGGAAGGAAGTAGGGGGAGGGGTGGGAGGCGGTTGGGGGACTAAAAGGGGAGAAATTTAAAAGAAAACGACAGAAAGTATTAAAGGATTAACGTTGGGCGAAGAGAGACCTAGAGGAAATTAAAGTAGGATGGATCTTAGATAGTAAGCAAAAAATTGAAGGGTAGAAAAAAGGACCAGAAAGAAAAGAAAACCAGGAAAGCAGTATTAAAGGATTAAAGAAGTAAAGAATTGAAGGATTAAAGGATTATCGGAGTAAAGAATCACAGGTTTAAAAAGAATAAACGGATTGAAGTATACAGAATTAAAAGAACTAAGCACATAAAGAATTGAAGAAAAAATCTAAAATTTTAAAATGGCAGGGAGAGAAAAAATAGAGTACAACGTACGAGTAGGACGTACAAAATGAAAAAATGGACGGAAATAATGCTGAGAGAAGAGAGAAAACATGAGAAATTAAGATGAATTGATTTTGGAATAGAATCGATATTTGATTAGAACACATACGGAACCAAGGTACTGATGCAAGGAAAGTTATTTCAGAGGTGTACACATTTTTTGTACTCCAATGTACTGTCTTTGGGCGGAAAAGTAAACACAAGACGGATGTCACAGCCTGGCTTGGAATCAATTTTTACAAAAATAATCTATGAAATATTCTGGTCATAGGAAACTATTATGTGAATTATCAAAATTAAATGCTTTTAACCTCCTCGGATACTAGACGAACACTGATGCTCCTATTCTTGTTTACAAATTCCGCCCAGAGGGAACTGGTTTTAATATGTACGCAGAGTAAACGCGCCCGCAATAAACTTTCTATGCATTAGTTCCTTGTACGGAACAAACTCAATTAATACACACATAGAATATATATCTTTGCAATCCAATGTCGTTTTAATCCTTTGATATTTTAAAACGAATTTATTAGTTTGAAATATCTAAGGTCTACGACATTGGGTTGCAAAAATATAGGGATTAAGAAATTAGATTTTAAAAGTTCACACAAATGTAAGGGAAAAAGTATTTAGATAAATATATCATCATGTTTTATGCATAATTCAATCTAATCCTGTATTTTAGGAATGCAAAATATGTTTAAGAAAAGTAAATTAATTAAAATAAACAGACATCTTTATTTCCTTGAATTTGTAGAAAGTAAAATATCTAAAATCTCTGCTTGATTGTTTAGAAAGCACTTCTTGTGTCTGCAGTGTGATCAGTTAACCTCCATCCTAGCTCTTATAAGACTTTAAACAATTTCGAAACAAAAATCAAAGAAAAAAGATAAGCATGGAAGACGGTCCCGATTTTGTTGCAGACGTTTCTCTAAGTGGTTTAAAACAAAATTCTGTTGATATTTCTAACTTAGAAAAAGAAAACCCTAATAAATCAGTAAGCATGGAGCTATTGAACGATATGAAACCCTACTGCTACGAAAAAAAAGTGTGGAGGAATTTTGAAAATTTTGCTGCAGAACTAATTAAAGTTTCAGTTGAAGAAGCTTTAAGAAATTTACCACCAAGGATTCTGATCACCGAATCAAATTCCATTTATCAACGATCTGGACAAGAACATAAATATCAAGAAAGTTCATTTTACGAAGATCCCGAGGAACACATTAAAAACTCAGATAATGATGATAAAAGAGTTTCTGAAATCTACAATGAGAATGACTCTCATTACGAATCTTTATCTTTGCCAATAACTTCAGAAACACAAAACCATTTCAGGATTGATCAAATTTCTGGTAAAGATTTAAAACTTTTACCAGAATCGAATGAAAAGATAATTGACACAGCTCTTGAGACTAAAACGAACGAATTAACAGTTAAAGAAGAAAACAAGGAATTACTGATTAAAGATATTCAAGATGAATGCAATGCTATTAGACAAATTATTGACCAAAGAACAGAAAACTATAAGAATTCAGAAAATATTGAAGAAGATAGCTTTTTAGATTTTTCAAATCATGTAGAATGTCTTCGTCAGATTACTAATAGCACGCTTGACCTAACCAAAGACGAAGATGATTTGAAATCCGACCTTAAAATAAACCAGAATCTAACACCAAAGATGAAAAAGAAACAACTGGTGAAAAGTCCCCTGACAAAACGTAAGGAGATAAAGAAGTTGTTCCAGAACCACAGGGAATGTGAAAACTCAGATATTCTGGAAGAAATTTTTAAACCTGTAACCATTTTCAATCAGGAAGAAATAGTTCAAACTTCAATAACTTATCAACCTTATCAGAAAAAACAAGACGAAGATTCAAATCAAGAAACAAAAAATGTTTCAGAATTGCCTAGGTGTCATAATGGGGGCTGCTGTCTACATGATACCAATTTTAACAAAGTAAGTGGAACATTTATATGTAAAAATCATTTATCAAGGAAAACTATATATCGGAAAGGTTTTTGAAAATGCGGGAAACACGAAACAGAAAATTCCCAACCCAGTTTTAACATTTGCTTTAATCTTAGAAGACCCTCATCATGAGATTCCCGTGGATGCTAACTTCAACTCTTCTTATCATCTCTACACTAGGATTAATCGGTGTTCATGCTGGTTCTAAATGTTCTCTCGAGGCAAAGTGTTCTTTTGACGAGACAAATGTTGGAATATTTATTGCGGACACCAAAGAAATGGCAAATAATATTGCTGATGGAGATCAAGCTCAGAAGGTTCAGTCTGGATTAAAAGAAGTACAGAACTTGATTGATCAACTTTATGAGAACCTAAACAGCATCGGCAAAATGGATATTTATGATGTAGGACTAGAATTCAACAAATCATGGTTCGAAGAAACAAAATCCCGAATTAATGTTCTTATTGATTCAATCAAGTAAGTAACGTAATAGAATTGGATTATTTTCAAAAATATTTTTACTTATCAAATGCTTTTCTCTTTATTAACTTTGAAACCTTTTTTCAGGAATTTTGATTACTCTGGGCAATGGACAAGTACACAAAAATCCGTGACCTTAGCCATACAAACCCTCACAAAGAAGATAAAAGAGCTAGTTCCTGAAAACTAAAACCAATTTCTACTATAAAATAATATAATATATCTAAATAAATTATGAAATGGATATCACCTATCTTTTATTTTGTGAAAACCGTAAAGGTTTAATACAACAAATATTTTTTTTTAAGGGAAAAACGTTTTTCTAAAACAATATATAACGGTTTAAAATATAACAATGACCTTTTCCAAATTTATCTGACGAAACTTCATTCACCAGGTTTTTATTTAGAATTTTATACTTTTAAAAGAATGAATGAGAGAAAGTGTGGTTTTGTCTGATTTTGTTCGGTGAGTGTGTGTGTGTGTGTGTATGATGTGAGAGGGAAAGTACCTTTCCCTTGAGAGTGCGCAGGACTGAAGCAAACCATTTCCCTTCTCATCTTCTTATCATACCTTCAACAGATTGGATAGATATTCATCAATTAATACTATATCCGGTTCAGTTTATAAACATTCAAGAGCTTGTGATGGTTTTAACTGGAGATGAAGTGAGTTTTGAATGAACACCTGAAGGATTAGTTCATAGTTCTAGTTTAGATTGATTGCAACAGGTGACATAAAACCATATGTTTAATATCAAATATTAATCCATATACTGGCATATTACTTTTCTTGTATTGTTGAAGTTGTAAGACAATACGATTGTACTAAACTTTTTCATCAAAAACTGTGAAAAAGTTTGTAAGTTGAAAATATCAAAATCTCATCTTGAATATTCAAACTTTTAGATTAAAAGTAAGACATGAAGACGATGACGAGAATACCGTTTGAGAATATTGTTTCTACAATAAAAAAGATTGCTACAACTACAAGTTCAATAATCAACACCACGCTAACAACATTCTCAACAACAACGTCTTCTACATTTCCAACAACAACAACGTTAAGAACGACAACAAGAGCTATAACAACGACAACTACAACAACAACAACAACAACAATGGCGACAACAACTGTAGCCCCACTTCCAGAGTCTCATTTCTTCCTTTTTATCGGAGTTTTCATTCTCATCTGTATACTTCTGGTTGGATTAGGGGTAGGTTCATTTTATAATCTTACACTTTTAATGAGAAAGAAGTCTATGGGGGGGAATCGAAAACTATTGTAATTCAATATTTAACTTTAGGCTGTTGGATTAGCTATGAAGACAAGATGGGATAGATATCAGCTGCATATGATGCCCTTGTATCAGTTTGATCCTGATCAGGTTTATATCTTTATAATATATTTGCTTGGGAACCCAGCTTTGCCAGGCGTGCTCCAATAAAAGTCAACCATCTCAACTTAGAAGTTTTTACCATGGTTCCGGCCCCGTTCAAATTTTGAGTCAAATCAGTCTGGGGCTTTATAGGAGTTATGCTCGGACATACAAATATAAACCAGAGCTTACCACTTTATAAATAATCATTAACAGTCTGATATTTAATGTCATTTTTCTTTAAATTTATTTCGAAATGTTGCCGAGAAGTTTTTAATCAATAATTCTGATTTATTTATTAAATGGGCCTTGAACATTTTTAGACATTTATCAGTTAAAGGATTTATTCGTTCAGTGGTGGGTTTCCAAACAATTGAAAATTGAAATTAAAAGCATCATCTTAAATTCCGACCGTGCGACCATAAAAGGAAAACATAGAAGGCAATTATTCAATATTTTTACTAATACTTTAAATAAGAAAAAAGCCTACTTTCTTTTACGTAACTTTCTATACAATCTGTTGTTAAACCTGCCAGCAGGGGGTTTGGGTTCCTTCTTCTCAGTAGTCTTCTAAACTAAGATTATCATATATAAACAGGATGATCTTGAAGCTGAACTACTGGAGTCCCCGGACCGAGGCAGATCAGGACCAAACAGGACCAGGAGGGACTTCGGGACCTGTCAGGTATACACTTGTATATACATATTTGAGACCTGTTATGTATACACACTTGTATACACATATTCGGGACCTGTCATGTATACTTGTATATACATATTTGAGACCTGTTATGTATACACACTTGTATACACATATTCGGGACCTGTCATGTATACTTGTATATACATATTTGAGACCTGTTATGTATACACATATTCGGGACCTGTCATGTATACTTGTATACACATATTCGGGACCTGCCATGTATTCACAGATATTGGAATCAACAAAGGACTGTATAGTTATATAATCGGCATTCCCTCTTTCCTAATTAAAAATAACCTATAACCATTAAATAGTGAAAATTAGGTCTGCTTTTTTTACAACCAAATTGTCAGGAGTATTAATATCACCCGGTGAGAAGCATTTTATTTGAAATCATACGTGTGTTGGTCTTTGAGACAACAATCTTTTAACTTACGGATTTTGTTTATTCCATACTTTTTCATTTAAAATGCATATGCCGACAAAAAACAAAGGCTGACAAATATGTTTATAGAATATTGGCAGAACCTTTTAATCCACGTGATATCCTAATATTTTTTATTTATTTTTAAACCATGACCGTAGACACTGATTACTCATATCAAACTCTAATTTTCTAATAATCTCCATCTTTGCAATCTAAATCGTCAATCTTTGATGTTTATAACTTTGACAATTTGATCCTGCAGATTTTATCTTAATGTCTATGAAGACATTAATTAAGTTGCAAAACTGCGAGGGTTACATGTTGGAGTTCGAGGTAAATAATCAGTTCCAATATCTGAATATCCATATTATCTTTTATGATTGAAAAGGGAAAACAATATTTTGGAAACCCTCTCAGTGAATAATAGAATAAAAATAATCCTGTCATAATGACAGGATTATTTTTCAATAATAATATAATTCAAGATACCAGAGAAACATTTATCAGAATAACACATATAATTTAATATCGAGTATTATTATTGTACAGAGAAGCTTATGTCGGAATCTTCTTCTATGTACAACTTAACATTAACATCTAGATATATATTTACACTACATAATAAACTTGTTACATTATTGTTTGAATGAATTGTGTGTACCCAGATTAATGCAGTATTACTAAATCTAAAAATATTTCAGAAAGCAGCAGTTCCACCTCAACTAGATCTTCTCTAAACTCAGAAGTTCCATCTCAACTAGATCTTCTCTAAACTCAGTAGTTCCATCTCAACTAGATCTTCTCTAAACCCAGTAGTTCCACCTCAACTAGATCTTCTCTAAACTCAGAAGTTCCATCTCAACTAGATCTTTTCTAAACTCAGTAGTTCCATCTCAGCTAGATCTTCACTAAACCCAGTAGTTTCACCTCAACTAGATCTTCTCTAAACCCAGTAGTTCCATCTCAAATAGATCTTCTCGATAAACCCAGTAGTTTCACCTTAACTAGATCTTCTCTAAACCCATCAGTTCCACCTCAACTAGATCTTCTCTAAACCTAGTAGTTCCATCTCAACTAGATCTTCTCTAAACCCAGTAGTTCCATCTCAACTAAATCTTCTCTGATCCCTGTAGTTCCACCTCAACTAGATCTTCTCTAAACCCAGTAGTTCCATTTCAATTAGATCTTCTCTGAACCGGCCTTGTTAAAGTCTAGTTTAAAGTAATTTTTTAAACGATAATACGGCTGAAATGAACTAAAGTTCTTGATTAAGTCCGATTATTAATATCGAAACTTTCATGGATTTGATCTAAATTGATAAACATGAAAAAAACATTATTATCAAACGATAAAAATCTTGATGTGATAAAACAGTATTTGTCCCTGTTAAGTGAGTGAGATATTTATTGTTATACAAAGCTTATCCTGTTACAGGGTGTCCGAATATTCAGCAGAATAGTTTATTTGGACATCCTGTAGATTATTCTATCTGATTATATAATCATTGTAAATATGTTTTGTAAATGCTTATTCAATATATCATATTTATATTTCATCTGATTAAATATTTTATTTAGTCCATATTTCAACTTATGCTATTGATGGAGCAATTATTTTCTCTCCGTAATTCAAATAAATCTATAAATATAATATTATATTGTGTACCAATGTTTGTTTACTTCAGTGAATGTATGTTTCAGAATTTAAAACAATTCAATTTAAATTCTTTGTGACCCAGACTCATTTATGACACGCAATATTGTGTAGAATTCTAAAACTAAATTTTCCAAAAAAAAGAGACTTCACTCTTGCTCCAGACAATTGTTTTAATATTTATTTCATAAAGTGTCTCCCTCTGTTTGGCATCTTTTTTATTTTTGGTTAAAAAATATTTAAGATATTTTGCTTTTAGAAAGTTGGGTAAAAATCTGTAAAGTTTTATTTTCCATTGGTTTGCTGTTATGAAGTTATGAAAAATGTTGGCAACAAACCTACACAAAAAAATCTTTTAGTGAAACCTTTTTCAAGTAAAATTATATTTTAACCTCCAAAATTGAATAAAACTGAAATTTTAGTTATTTTCTAACTCTTAAAAAGTTCTTTTTAATTTTCTCATTAAAAAACTTTTAGTTTGTTGTACGTTTTGAATTACGATACACTATAGAACCCGAAATTATTTCATAAATTTTATGTTGTAAAAAAGGATAAATGAAAACAATTATTTAAAATATTTCGATTGAGCAAATTTGATCTTTCTAATTAAAAAATTGTTGTGTGTTTTTCTTTTCATGTTTTGCAAAATAACCATTAATTTGACTGTAAAAATTCTTTGCAGTTTTAGGAACATAGATTTACTAATATATTTTTTATAATTAAGGGGATTGAACGGAATTTATGTTTTAATTTAATTTTATTTGATTATTTTAAATCAACTTTCATGCACATACACTTTCTCCTACCCCCAACTTACGATATTAATATTTATTATTTATACAAACAATACGCGGTAATTGATCATTATAGGCACATTCCCTTTAAGAAGGTTAGAGTTTAACCAGTATTTATTATTTATATTAATATCCTATAGTTCTAGTTCTAGTTCAACTTCCAGTAGTTAAACATATACACACATTAACGCGTTATAGATAGATTATTTTTCCATGGATTCATACTGCTGAATCAAGGTTAATACAAAATTTTGTAAAAAATCTTCCTTTTTGGCATTCTATTTTTTTTTGTTTGTATAGATCAACATTAATATATATATAATTTGCTTGTTTGTTTTATATTTTATTTTTTTTGTATATTGTACAAGAGTAGATGGATAGATCCACAATAAATAGTTGAAATAGAATAAATGAAATAGAATGAATGAATGAATGAATGAAATAGAATCCTAAAAATGGTTCCATTTACTCTCAGACAAATTAGAACCAATGGAAATTTAAACCCTTGTTGGATTTAACTAAAAATCCGAGGGCGTAGCACAAGGGTTTATTATTAAATCCCTCAATCCCTCTGCAATGAAAGCATATCTACAAAAACCAGTCTTTTATAAAGAGATGAATATTTCTAGAAAATTTTTGTTGAATTATGATCTGAAAAAAAAACAGATAACATAAATTGACTGAGGTTGGTTTTAATCTCAATTCAACAATTTTTTGGAGATCGAAAAATTAAAAATAATTGTAACTAAATAAATGAAATCGTATTCCTTTTAGATTTCACTTAGATTTCACTTAGTCAAGGTTTTACAAGTTACGAGACTGTACTAGTTAATTCCTATTTTCTATATATTCAAACACCTGAACTATCTTGCTGTAAATGATTTAAGTTTTTGCCACAAACTTAAATGTTCTAATCCCTATACCTTTGCAACACGATGTAATATAACCTTTGGTATTTTAAACCATGCATTTTGTCAGATTCAATAATCTAATTTTGAAATATTAAAGGTTTAAACCATCAGGTTGCAATTATTTTCTAAACCTATTATCTTTACATCCTGTTTTTGGAAACCTTTTATATTTTAAACTTTGACTATTTGATCAAAGATCAGATACATCAGTTTGTATAAATATATTGGCAGTGCTTAGATCCATATTATTTGATGCGGATCCGCACTGGAATAAAAATGGATCTGGATTCGGATCCAGGTCATGAACATTTCTTAAGATTTACTCTTTTTTTAACAGAAAAAAATGTTCAAATTAATTTTCTTTTTTTCGTATTTTTATGCTAAAAATTAGTTATTATTCAGAGATTATAAAATATTTGATAATCTCTCTTTTTTTCAACAGTTCAGATTTGGATATTGAAAGCAAAAGATTTTTGTTTGCAGTTTTTGGTTGATATTTTGACCCAGGGTTCCGGATCCATGGATCCGCATGTTGCTGCGGATTCGGATCCAGAAGGCCAAAATGTTACGGATTCATCGGATCCGGATCCTAAGCACTGGATATCAGTATTATTTCATGGGAAATTCATGAAATTATCTTGGTGTAGCAATATTAAGTGTAGTTGAGAAGACGTTTACAGGGGGGGATATTAGGGTTCAAGCCCCTCAGGATCAGTAAAATCTAAGGTTTCTAGGGGATTTTCAGGTAGTTCAGGTTGTTCAAATAAAGCACCACCGTATGCTTTAGTATTAACTTAAGTCCTAAGACCCAAATGTTTGATAATTTAGTTCATTCGTAACTTGAAATAAAACTTTTTAAAGAACATGATAGCAGAATTCTCAGTTCTTGGGGCTTACAATTAATCAAAACATGAATGCTTTCTCCCCCCTCTCTGTTACCAGCCTAATATATACAAATATATGTATATAGAAATATATAAACGATACTTGGATATTAATAATTCAAAATAGAATATTTATGTCGAATTAAACATATCAAGATAGCAAAGGTCTGGTATTAATGATACAGGATAGCAAGGGTCTTGTACTAATGATAAAGGATATCTTAGGTCTAGTGTTAATAATAAAGTTTATGCTAAGGTCTACTATCAATAATAAAGGATTGCTTAGGTCTAGTATCAATAATAAAGGATAGCTATTAGCTATGGTCTAGTATTATAATAATAATAATGAATAGCTAAGGTCTATGATTAATGATAAAGTAGAGTTAATGTCTAGTATTTATAATAAAGAATAGCTAATGTCTTGTATTTATGATGAAGAATAGCTGAGGTCTAGTATTGATAATAAAGGATAGCTAAGGTCTATTATAAATGATAAAGAATATCTAAGGTCTAGTATTGATAATAAAGGATAGCTAAGGTCTAGTATTAATAATAAAGGAAAGCTAAGGTCTAGAATTAATAATAAAGGATATCTAAGGTCTAGTATTAATGATAAAGGATGGCTAAGGTTCAGTATTAATAATAAAGGATAGCTATAAGGTCTAGTATTAATAATAAAGGATATCTAAGGTCTAGTATTAACGATAAAGGATGGCTAAGGTCTAGTAATAATGATAAAGAATATCTAAGGCCTAGTATTAATAATAAAGGATATCTAAGGTCTAGTATTTATAATAAAGAATATCTAAGTTCTAGTATTAATATTAAAGGATAGCTAAGGTCTAGTATTACTAATAAAGGATAGCTAAGGTTTAGTATAAATGATAAAGAATATCTAAGGTCTAGTATTAATATTAAAGGATAGCTATAAGGTCTAGTATTAATGATAAAGGATGGCTAAGGTCTAGAATTAATGATGAAGGATAGCTAAGGTCTAGTATTAATAATAAAGGGTAGCTAAGGTCTTGTATTAATGATAAAGGATAGCTAAGGTCTAGTATTAATGATAATGGATAGCTAAGGTCTATTATTAATAATAAAGGATAACTAAGGTCTAGTATTAATAATAAAGGATGGCTAAGGTCTAGTTTTAATTATAAAGGATAGCTAAGGTCTAGTATTAATGATGAAGGATAGCTAAGGTCTTGTATTAATAATAAAGGATAGCTAAGGTTTACTAATAATGATGAAGGATAGCTAAGGTCTAGTAGTAATAATAAAGGAAAGCTAAGGTCTAGTATTAATGACGAAGGATAGCTAAGGTCTAGTATTAATAATAAAGGATAGCTAAGATCTAGTATTAATTATAAAGGATAGCTAAGGTCTAGTATTAATGATAAAGGACAGTTAAGGTCTAGTATTAATAATAAAGGATAGCTAATGTCTAGTATTAATAATAAAGTATAGCTAAGGTCTAGTATTAATGATGAAGGATAGCTAAGGTCTAGTATTAATTATAAAGGATAGCTAAGGTCTATTATTAATGATAAAGGATATCTAAGGTCTAGTATTAATTATAAAGGATAGCTAAGGTCTAGTATTAATGATGAAGGATAGCTAAGGTTTAGTATTAATAATAAAGGATAGCTAAGGTCTACTATTAATGATAAAGGATAGCTAAGGTTTAGTATTAATGATACAGGAAAGCTAAGGTCTAGTATTAATGATAAAGGATACCTAAGGTCTAGTATTAATGATAAAGGATACCTAAGGGGTAGTATTAATGATATAGGATTTTTTTTCCTTTTTTCATATGACAACCCATTTTCTTTTCAATGGTTCTTCAGGTTTCAACTGAACAGCGTATATTTTTAACTTTTGAATATACTAAGAAGAAAGAAACTAGAGAATTCAAATAACTTTTCCTTAAAACTTTATATACACTTTTTTGCTTTTCTGAACTTTTGATTTTGAGAGAGAAAAAAAGTTTGTTAATTTTTTTTGGGCAATCACAGTTTTTTTGGACTCACCCTGTATACACTTTGCTTGTCTGTTTGTTTGTTGTATCCAATCCAATTAACTTAAAAACGACTACAACGATCGAGCCCACAAAGTCAACTCACATGATCCTGCAGGGAAGGTTTATGGCGAAATAAATTAAGTTTTTGCCACAAACTTGAATTTTCTAAAATCTATGCTTCGCAACCTGTGACCGAATTTAAAGAATTTGAGCGGCGGTTTACATTTAAGCCGCGGTTTAAATATGGTTGGTTTCACTTAAAATTGTATTAAATGTTTCAAGATTTTAGCCGGCACTTAATTTAAACCGGGTTTTGGTGGATTTAAACCGCTGCTCAAATTCTTTAAATTCCATCTCTGATGATGTAAACCTTTTATATTTTAAACTTATACTATTTGATCTAACAGAATTCATAGTTTAAAATATCTTTGGTCAATACGACATTGTGTCGCAAAGATATATGGATTAGAAAACCAGAGTTTGTGGCAAAAACTCAACTCCTCTCAAAACTTATTATTTTTAAAGTACACCGATTTAAACAGAAAATCCGCGAAAATTTGAGGACGGTTAAAAATGGTGACTTTCTAAAGTACAAAGCTAAAATTTCTAAAAAGGTGGCGTGAAGCGCCCTAAAAAGCCTAGTGATGAATGAATGCAACATATTAAATATATCTTGTTGTAGATGAAGTATGTCCCGTGGATCCTGCTGCAGTAGTTGAATCAGTATGCCGAGATTAGTTGAAGGAATTACACCACGCAAAGGGTTAATGGCGCCTCAAAATAATTTCCTTGATAAAATCGCGAAACGATTCAAAGGAACACGTAAGTTTATGCAGGATTAAGAGTATCCAATTCTAAGGTTTTCAGCTCGGAGCAAAGATGTCTCTTAAAATACATAAATTACTAAATTCAAAAGTTTTTGTTCCAAAGAAAATGGGAGGTTTGTTTACAAGAATGTAACTAAAATGACTGATTTAATGAAGTTACTGCGGATAAAACCTAGTTTATTTATATAAATCGATACTGAGTTTGCAGTGCTTACTATACTATATATATAACAAGTATTAGTCAACACTAGATACTGCAGGACTTAACACTCCTTTTTTAATATTATTGTGTTTTTTTATACTTCGTGTCAATATTATAATAATCAATCTGTATTATTTTAAAAACCGATTTATCAAAAACATTTCATAAAAGTAAAAATTTACTTTTTAACTTTTTAATTAATTAAAGACGAGAGTTGTTTCTCCTTGTCTCCGTTTTAAAATGTGGTTTCGTCCAAAAATATTTCTAGAATATAATATAATAGAATAATATACAATGCTAAGGTTGCTAAATTACTTAAGAAAAAAGCCTTTTTTCAAATCTCCAATATTTGTCAAATTTAAATTGTCCTGATTCAAGGTTTATAGTTTTCCCGCACTATTAAACCACAAGTATTCTTTTGTAGTTATTCAATCAATCAAAAACCCACTCCTTCATTTTTTGTATTAATCTAACCCCTTTTTTGAACGCCCGCTCCACTCTGACCAAAAGTAGCGTTTGTCATGATAAAAAGAATCCTATACACGCCATCTGATATTATCAGAATTCCCCGAACCAAATTACAGTACTCCACCAGAAATTATAATTCTTTCAAAAGAATTCAAATTCTTGCCGAAAAATAGAATATTCAAACGAAAGTAGGTATTTCCCTCTGAAGGTGGAAATCTCCAGATTATCTCCGACGGAAATTAGATTTCTCGCAAGGGAATCGGATATTTCCGACGGAATTCGGAATTCTCCGACGGAATAAAATTCCCCGATTATACTTTAAAATTTGCTGTTCCCCTTCTAGACAATTTGAATAATTTGAATTTATTTGTAGTCCTTTATATATATAGCATGTGTACTGGTTCTAGATGTAAAGTACTCCTATAAAAATGCCCCCTGAATATCTCGAGGAAGAGGCGGATTAGAAACCATGGGTCGGAAACGTGTGTACTCAGGATCTCTTATAAAAGATTTGACAACTGACAATAAAGGTTTAAATAAAAATATATATACAAAATCAGAATACAAAATATAAACCCCCTAATTAATTTTGATGTGGATAGGCTTCTCAAAGCTCTTTCTCGCAAAAACAGATAAGATCGTATTGAACGATTGTGTGAACTTAAAGCAGCGGACTTTACATATATTTCTAAAATATCCAGAATATGTTCAACGCGGTTTTCAAAAATTTAAATGAAAATACTAATTTTTACAACTTCTGGAAAGTAAATATTGTTTCTTAAATATGAAACAGGTTTCAAACAAAGTGTTGAAAAATTGCAAGCGTATCTATAGAGAAATAATTTTAAGTCCGTCATCCTTAATCAGTCAAAAGGTTAAAAAAAACTGTTGTGAATTACACACGCCTATATACATATGGAGGGTCACAAGAAATTACGTTTACTGTCCATTTACACGTGTCTTAACGACAATAATTGTTAGTATACATATATTATTAAAATAGCAGACTATAAAATATAGAGTTTTCTATTCTTATTGGTGTATACTGTACATCAAAATTTTAGACAAATCAAGATTATTTTGGGGCAATATTTTTAAACTTCGAGCGACCATACCAAATTAACGTAAGTATTATAATAAAGGAAGTAGTAAGGCGGATTATCAGATTATCTGCATAATTTTAAATTTATTTCTTTTACTTTATTGTTTATTGTGCATTGGGTTTTATTTTGAAATGTGTTGTAAACTTTGCTTTTGATATTATAGTAAGGGACTGTTATTGTAGTTTTTAAGTAGCCCTCCATATAGTGATGTCCGGTTTTCAAACTTTTTGATAAAAATCTTTAGTTTTTCTAAAAAGTGAAAAATACAAAGTTATTAACATTTACAGGCGTTTGAGGAGATAATATTATAATAATACCGTCATTATTGATCAGTAATATGTTTAAAGGGTACATATTACTTTAACAATAGAGGGTCATATACTAATTAGGTGTACAGTCCCCTTAGATTATAAAAAAGGATTAGAATCTTTCTATCGTGTCTTTAGTCTTTGCCCATTTGAATCCTCTAAACTTAGAAAGCAGGGGGGGGGGGGGTTTGCCTCCATAGTTACTGCTATTAATGTTTCCGTTTCTTTAAAGGGAGTGTTTCAAGAAAAATTAAAGTGGGTAAAGGCTTACGTTGAAAAATATTGTATTTCTATCTGTTGCATGCGTCTATATAAAGAGAAAATTGTTACAAACGACTCATACCGAAGAACGTATACGTCCATTCAAATTCAGAAAATTGCAATGTTCGACTCAGATCGTAAAAAAATCAATTTAATTCCAAACAAATCATTCAGATATTACGCATTCGTATATAGTTGATAATTCATAATATTTTAGATTTTTTTTCAAATTAATATTTCGCTTACAACTTGTTTTCACGACTGGCGCTGGATTTTCGAACATTCCTGGAAAATATGAAACTGTCGTCTTCAATATAAAAAATCCTCGAATTAGGAACGAAAGTTTTCAAAAGTAACTATCGGATCATAAAAAATAAAAATATTATGAAATATCAACTATTTACGAATGCATCGAAAAAAGATCGATGATTATAGATTGTTATATCTGAATGATTTGTTCAGGGGACAGATAGATAACAAAACTTACAGATAGATAACAAAACTTACAGATAGATAACAAAAGTTACACAATTTATAAATGTTCTTAGCGCCTGTGATTTGAAAAAGTTGAAAAATTTCTACATTTTCGAATTTTTCCATTTGACGTATTTTGGTATTAGTGTTAGGACACTTGATCATTTAAATTTTCTAAAATAATTCCCGAATATTAATGATCAAGTATTTACTCCAATGTCAGGTCCGCTATCATTATATTTAATTATTTATTTACTTAAAGCCAAATTTTAGTTAGAAAAGAGAGGTGATTTATTTAGGCTCATAGTGCTTAATTTCTTTATTTATTTATGTGAGTTTTTGTTATCATTAGATTAAATGATATGTTGTCGTGAAACTAAGTTGAAAGTTGAAACGTAGAAATGTTGATTGTTTGCGTAAGGTTTATTTTTGCATGTGCAAACTGTTAAAACTAATTCAAATAAAGTTTGTAATTATATCTTCCAGGATTAATTATTAAAGAGGAGAAAGCTATTTACTTTATTTGCATTGTGAATATATTTTTGTTTAATGAATTCAATGTTATTTCAATATTTGTCCATGGGTCTGTGCGTTAAATTAAAGAGATATTAGCTTTAAAAAGTTTTTTTAAAAATGTACAGAAATCATTTACATATGTATTTAGTGAATTTACGCTTATTCAACATTTAATTTGTGTATGGTTTGAAGCTTTTTTGGTGCCAACGTTTTTTGTAAGGATGGTAGTTATCTCTATTTTCTCTAAAATTTAAAAAAATATTTTCCAGGGTTATTGCGCCAAAAATATCCTTTTTTCCAAACTAACCATCTATTGATGGGCAACCTCAAATTTTAAACGATACCACACAAATACTGTGAACTTGAGAAGGTTTCAACATTTCAAAACTGTACTCTGTAAAAGATTGCTTGTTTTAAACTTTATATCTTACAAAAAATATAATAAAAAGCAACCATATTTTTGTATATTTCGTATAAATACAGCAATATTTTAGAAAAAAATTGTTTAATTTGTAGAACATTCCAGACTTTTTAGAACCTTTTTAAAACCGTAAAAATAATTTTAAACGAACCAGCAATTTCCCATCACTATTCTCATCGTCATCAAGCTTAGTGTTTCAGATTCGTTTAGCAGCAATACTCAACATAAAGTCATAACAAAAATGAATTTACTATTGTTTAGACGCTAACTTTGTGCTCGGGAATGCTGCTATTGGTCCTGACTTCCCAATAGTGTACTGCAGTGATGGTTTCTGTGAACTGACCGGGCAAAATAGGGCAGCAGTCATGCGCCAACCTGTACACTGCCCGTTCTTATACGGGCAGGCTACTGACACAAGACATAGGTCATTGTTGTTATAGTTTAAGTGACTATTTGTATAATAAAAAAGAGCATGCCTGACTCACAACGGTACCCTATAAACCTGAATATAATCAATAATGCTGCAATCTTTGTTTTCCTATGCTTAGAAGTGTTAAATTCGGATAATATCCTCCATTGTTTCTGCAGAAGAAGTCTGGCAAGATACTTTTATAAAGAAACAACAATTGAAAATAATCAGGTTTCGAAAAGAGAAACATGATCTGATATCTTCTTCATGCTTAAGTAGACTAATTTTACTAGGATACCGTTGTGAATCAGAAACTCACTTGATAAGTGGAAACTCACTTGATAAGTGGAGACTCACTTGATAAGTGGAGACTCACTTGATAAGTGGAGACTCACTTGATAAGTGGAAACTCACTTGATAAGTAGAGTGTCACTTGATAAGTGGAAACTCACTTGATAAGTGGAGACTCACTTGATAAGTGGAGACTCACTTGATAAGTGGAGACTCACTTGATAAGTGGAAACTCACTTGATAAGGGGAGACTCACTTAAAATCATGTCTTCGGTTTCTTAAACATTTTTCAAATAATTTACTTATATTTTATTCTAGAGCTGAAGTAGAAACAGCCTTGAGAGAATCTAAAGAACTTAAACTTAGTATTCAGCTCTACGCAGATCCAGGTTATACATTATAGAATCTAGAAATATTGGAATATTCTAGAATCTAGAAATATTGGAATATTCTAGATTCTAGAGATATTGGAATATTCTAGAATCTAGAAATATTGGAATATACCAGAATCATAAAATATTGGAATATTCTAGAATCTAGATCAGGGGGCTGAAACGACATGGGGGTGTGTCTGTACCAAAAGAGTATGCGTAAAGTTTACCGAACCGAAAGTGTGTACTGTAGGTATATACAGTATATACGAATCTTGATATTTGTACAGTCTAGGAGAGTACATTTGTTTATTGTTAATTGTTTACTTAAAAATAAGTTTAATATACAGGTAGTATATTATTTTTATATTTATGTCAACACTTTAAGCCAAATTTTCATGCAAAGAATATAATTTGATTAAAGTTTACAATACACTAGTCGTTATTCAAGCTTAATTATAATTGACAACATTGTTCTGCAATTTCCTTGACTGTAGTCATGTTGTGTGCCTGTACTAAAAGAGTGTGTGTAAGGTTTACCGAACTTGTCTGCAAAGCAGTGCGAATGGCTTTCTCATGCCAGACCAGCGCCATTTTCTTTCCCTGTATTCCTATTCCCTGATCTAGATATATTGGAATTTTCGCTTAATACATAGACTGTCGTATAGACCAGATTATGTTTAGAGAGGTTTACCTTTTCTACACGTAAAATCCTCTTTAGTTTTGTAACCAGAATTATTTAGATCATTACTGCTAAAAAAATACTGCTATGCAATAAAGTTGTACTAATCAGTTTTTTCAAATTAAGATGACAGAAATAAATGATTACGACCTTTTCAAGGAGGTTTGCTAGGTCGTCATCTCTAGTGCTTCAATACTTCGGGCTCTCAGGATCCAGAGAGACGAAGTATGAATTCAGGGGGGGGGGTGAAGAGAGGATTCTGAATGATAGATAAAATATAAATTTGTTCGTTTATCTTTGGAGGGTAATGGTTTTTAAAATGATAGATGAGCAAGTATATCAGATAATTAAATACCTGAATATTTATTCTAATATCAGAGTAGCACCGCAGGTTAGTGCAAACTGAAGTACCTAAATCAGTTTTATTGTTGTACAATACAGTGTACACTGTACATAAACTAGTTTACAATCAGGAGCTTGATTCGGTAAAGGAGCTGTAACTTGCTTTGATTTTGAGTATAGTCCAATTCGTTAATCGAGCTGTAACTTGCTTTGACTACGATTTGAGATCAGAGCTCTGAGGTTATATTTGAAATCAAAGCCAAAGAGCATTCATTCATTAGACAAAATCTGGAGTTTAATCTGGAGATTGGACTTGCTTTGATTTTAGATCTAGTCAAAGTAAAAGTCATTTGTTTAATGATTCCAATCTAAAAACTGACTGACTATGATTTGACGACAGCTGGTATTCCTAACTGAAAACAAAAATTTGAATTTAAGGAGGCATTGATATTTCCTCGACCTCTTTAAAAAATCATTTGATTTTTGGCCTTAAAATTGTAAATGATTGCGATAAATAAGATAGATGGATAGACTGATAAAAACATAGATCGATAGAAAGAGATAAAAGATGAAGACTAAAAACAAAATATTTTTTTTAAAAATCTATAAAAGGAAATATCTGATTTTTTTTGTTAAAAAAATCTTTTTTTTAGTATTTAAAAAAATCTTTAAAAAAATGAAAAAAATGTTTTAAAGAAAATTTAGATTTTTTTATCAAAAAAACGTACTTTTTTAGAAATATTATTTTTAATCAAAAAAATATTTTCTAAATACAGGGTGTACCACGAAACATGACAGTTGGTGAATAGTTTAAAATGTTTTCTTCCATTATTTGATAAGTTGTTTGATACTAAAGAGACTAATAACATTTTTTATATGACAGTCATATTTTAGTAAAATTGATTTCGCGGTAAAATATATGTGAGTTAAACATTTTTTAAAGAAATGAACTGAAAAAGTCTTTAAAATCTAGTACAGTATGTGGCAGAAGACATTCAAAACTATTCACCAACTGTCGTGTTTCGTGGGACACCCTGTATCTGTGGGAAAAAATTTTTTATTTTGCCAAAAAAATGTTTAAAATTATTTTTAGAAAATTTTTAGTATAAAAAATATTGATTTGCTAAAAAGTAAAAAAAATATCTTTTATAAAAAAATGTTAATTTAAGGTTTTTTTAAATCGTAGAAATAATTTCATTTTTCTGAACTATGCATCTTGGCATATTATTTCTGTCTCTATTTCCATGATTTGCAATTTTAGTAGTTTTAATGTCTGCTTATTTGTAACCAAAATCATGTGAATGCATAAAAATGGCGAACATTTCTTCTGCTGATATTTTGCTGTGATCAAGCTCCGACATCAGATCAAACCTAAAATTCGATCTTGCTCTGATTTTGGACTAACGAAAAGAAAATTAAAGTTAAGTTAGGAAGTCGCAGCTAAATCATAGCTAGAAACTGACAATCGAATCCGACTAGGTTGTATATAATTCATCCTTCTCCAGGGGCCCTGCAGTACAGTAAGGAGTGGGGGGAGAAAGAATAAACACACATTAAGTTCAATTTCTTCTGTATTCTACAGCTTGTACAACAAAGACAAAATTCCAGTTCTTGATTTCAGATTGTCTAATTGTTAAACTGGTAATGATATATATCCTCCAAGTTGTTATTAATTAGGTCCTTGCTGACAGTAATTAATGAGCTTTTGGTTAATTTTAACGAAGTATTTGGATCAGTTATCCATGAAATACCTCGGTTTAAACTCATGCATCAACGAGACACTTTTTAACAATTTAACATTGTTCTTGACCCATCAAATATAAAAAAGTAAAAACAATATTTTCAATTATAGCTTTTATACCATTAAATGCATAATTAATTTTCGATTAAAGTTTAATACCATATTTTATTAATGTTCAAAGTTTAAAACCATTAGTTTTTATTCACTATTAAATACTATTAACTATTTTAATCGAGGTTGAAATATTTCTATCTTTATGAGCTAAAACAAAACATTTTTGTAGGAATTCCATTCTGGTGTTTGTTGGATATTATTCCAATTAGAAATGAATTTGGAAAAGTTGTTTTATTCCTTCTCTCTTTTAAGAATATAACAGAAACCTATTCTGCCTCCAGGTATACTATTTTTATATGCTTTATACAGGGTTCCTCACAGAGAATGAGACTTCAGAGATGACTGTCCAGAACTGTAAACTGGTTTATTTCGTTGCCATGTCAATAAATAGGACATTGAATGATCAGGCAGTAGAATAAATTTGACCTTGTAATCATCATATTTTGATAGTTTCAGGTCTTCTTTACAGTTTCATCCTTTGTGGGTAACCCTCCTCCTTTTCTCTTCTTTCTTTTATAACGTTCTTTGTTCTCTGTTCCTAAACAGTTAGCTCATCTAAAAACCAAAACTGTCATCTAACTAAATTTTGCTTTGTACTTCTTTTATCTTTTTGCTTTCTTATTTACTTTACTAACCTTTATACTCTTCTCTTTACTCTGTTCTTATTCCTAGCTCATATAGACCCTACTCCACTATCCTTTATACTTGTCTCTTTACTCTGTTCTTATTCCTAGCTCATATAGACCCTACTTTACTATCCTTTATACTCTTCTCTTTACTCTGTTCTTATTCCTAGCTCATATAGATCCTACTCTACTGTCCTTTATACTCTTCTCTTTACTCTGTTCTTATTCCTAGCTCATATAGACCCTACTCCACTATCCTTTATACTCCTCTCTTTACTCTGTTCTTATTCCTAGCTCTTATAGATCCTACTCTACTATTCTTTATACTCTTCTCTTTACTCTGTTCTTATCCCTAGCTCATATAGATCCTACTCTACTTTTTTTTTTACTCTTCTCTTTACTCTGTTCTTATTCCTAGCTCATATAGATCCTACTCTACTATCCTTTGTACTCTTCTCTTTACTCTGTTCTTATTCCTAGCTCTTATAGACCCTACTCTACTATCCTTTATACATTTCTTTTTACTATGTTCTTATTCCTAACTCATAAAGATCCTATGCTCTACAATTCTTTATACTCAATATATGAGCAAGAATTTAAGTTTTACATTTAAGGAATCCGTCCACCTATAGTCTGGATAGTAGACTTGAGTTTGAACCACTTGATTCAGAAGATACAAAGGTATTTAGAAATAAATTGCAGATATCCACATCACACGTCTTACTTTGTTATAGATCAACTATTATGATCATAATAAGCATCATTGCATTTTCTAGTTCAAGATTAATGATTTTGTTTTACCATGCATCATGATTTAACACATACTCACCTGCATTCTGCATAATTAATGTTTATTGGTCTTCTCACAGTATCTGATATGCATCCCTAATTGCAATATTTATCAACGCATTATGTGCCAGAAACACGAACCTCTTACTTGATGCACACACTTCGATTTTTATCTTCTCGTTGTAGAAATCCTTTTCCCGACGACGATCTCGAGCAGTTCTCAGCGAACTTTCCGGGTGCTATATATACCAGGAACCTAAACAGACAGGGAGAAGGGAGGGAAGAAGGGTAAGCTATATATATACACCAGGAACCTAAACAGACAGGGAGAAGGGAGGGAAGAAGGGTAAGCTATATATATGCACCAGGAATATAAAAAGACAGGTAGATGGGAGGGTAGAATGGTAAGCTATATATATACCAGGAATCTAAACAGACAGGGAGAATGGTAAGCTATATATATATACCAAGAACCTAAGCAGACAGGGAGAAGGGTAAGCTATATAATATACCAGGAAACTAAGCAGATAGGGAGAAGGGTAAGCTATATAATATACCAGGAACCTAAGCAGACAGGGAGAAGGAAGGGTAGAATGGTAAGCTATATACGTGCACCAGGAACCTAAGCAGACAGGGAGAAGGAAGGGTAGAATGGTAAGCTATGTTTTGGGTAAACGTTATTGTAAATTTAATCAGATGTGCAGCCTAAAGTCAGACCGCGTCAACCTAGTTGGAGTAGCTAGTCCTGCCTATAGAGCTAGGCCAACTATATTGACCCCTGCCGTATGACTTCCTTTGTAGTTGGTGTACCGGTCGGGGCGGTTCAAACTATAGAACCGTAAAGGTCAGTTCAGCTAAGCTTCGATCAAATGTACTTGAATTGAGTGTGATATAAATAAAAATAATGATTAACAATTTACATAGAAGCTTGGTTAAATTCAAAACTACATAAAACGAAGTATAAATTGCAATTATATTTATTTATAATTTAATTTCAGCACTTTTCCCGTTTTCTTTCCTCCAGCTCGGCTCCTATTTACAAAACTGCTCGAATGCAGGTAAACAAGTTCTTTGGAAAATTATCGAATTACTCGAAAAGAAAAGGTAGAAACTGAGTTTTAGCCACAAACTCTGATTTTCTAATTCATATATCTTTGCAGCTAGTCCGATGTCGTAGACCTTTGACATTTCAAATTATGAATTCTGTAAAATAAATTAATCTAAGGTTTACATCCTCGGGTAGCAAAAACTATTTAAGATAGAAAGTATGAAAGATGAAAAAAGCTATCTATCCTTCCAATTAGTTCATCTAAAACTCCGTGCATAGAGATGGAAAAAATATATTTGCAGGGTCTTTAAAACTAACACAACAAAATAATCTTAAAGAAATTGACCGTCTTTGCCACAAACTCAAATTTTCTAATCTCTATATCATTGCAACCTGATGATGTAAAACTTTTATATTTAAAACTTACATTGATCTAACATAATTCTTAATTTGAAATTTCTCAATTCTACGACCATGGGTTGCAAAGATATAGAGATTAGAAAATAAGAGTTTGTGGCAAAGACTCTAATATTTTTCCTAAATTTTAGTTTTTTGTTTAACCATTATATTTCATGATTTAGGAAAGATGTGGCATTATTTCACACTACGGATCTTTTCGCAAGGTAATAGAAATAAATATAATTTTTAAATACCATGTTTTTCTAAATTCATCTAGAGGTCAGATTTAGAGAATTAAATTTAAGCCGGCGCTCAATTTGAATAGGTCGGTAGCGGTTCAGAGACGCGGTTTAAATTCTTTAAATTCAGCCTCAGAGCCGGGAATTTACGGGTGAGAAATAGCTATGAGATACCAGAGGGAGGTAGCTTGTTAGATTTGTAAAAATCATAATACTCATTTCTGCTAAACCAATGAGTAAAAAATAAAAAAATAAAACCAACTAATATTAAAAGGACCGTCAGCGTAATTTCAAGTGACCTTCCTGTTTTATAATGTTATGTCCGATGCACAATTGTACTCTTTAAACCTTTATCTATAAGCAACAATGAGGAAAAGATATTCCACTTTATAAATTAAGTGTAATTTGAAATAAAGTCATCAGTCCCTTTAATGTAAACCTAATTACATAGATAACAACTGTTAAACTATTTATTAGTGTTGGGATTTTGTAATTCTTGTTGCTATCATGTACGTGGCTCTCATAGTACCTTACAATGCTGCTTTCAACAGGTGTGTTAGAATTATACCTTAAACCTTTAACCTAAACCTGTTCCCTAACCCATTAAATTAAACCTGATCCCTGAACCATTAAACTAAACCATAAACATGTACCATTAACTTAAACCTGTTCCCTAACCCATTAAACTAAACCTGATCCCTGAACCATTAAACTAAACCATAAACATATACCATTAACTTAAACCTGTTTCCTGAACAATTAAACTAAACCTTTTCCCTAAACCATTAATCTAAACCTGTTTCACCTACATCATTAACCAAAATCATTAACCAAAACGATTACCCAAAATCATAAACCTTCAACCTTTAAACTTGTACCATTAACTTTTCTCAGTCTCCCCCTAACCCTGCTAGAACTCAGTCTCCCCCTAACCCTGCTAGCAACAACACATCTCTGTGACCCTCTCTCTCCTAGCCTGATACCAGCTGACCCAGCTGTTGCTATGGCGGGGACTGAGTCTGCGCCTGAACCTGATTCTGAGTCTGCACCTGAACCTGAACCTGAGGCTGAGTCTGCGCCTGAACCTGAACCTGAGACTGAGTCTGCGCTTGAACCTGAACTTGAGACTGAAGCTGGTCCAGAATATGAAACTGAACTTGAAATCGAACTAAAACCACCTGTGAACATTGCAAACCCAGTTTTTGCTTTCTGTGAAGAAAAAGAATGTACAGTTTGCCCAGTTAGACACAACGCAATTAGAGCATATGAAAAAGTAGACAACCAAATAAAATATCATAAGTTGGTTAATAACTATAGGAAGTTCTGTTGTTTCTCAGCAATGGATGACGAGGGAGTCAGCTGCGAAATATTGCACTGGCATTCAAAGTCTAATCTGTGTCTATCATATGAATCATTTATATAGAAAATAAATAATGTAGTTTTTCCATGTATGAAAGTTGTAAACTTGTAATACAATTGTAATATTTTAATCTCTGCTACAAAATAAATATTTAGTTTTTTTTTAAACTTTTCACCAAAACCTTTTTCCTAAACCTATAATTTGAACAAAACCTTCAGTCCGTGAAACTAAAACCGCAAACATAAACCTGTTAACTAAACCTTTACACTCAACGATGTTTTAAACCTTTAACCTTTAATCTAATCTTAAACTTTACAAAAAACCAATTTCTGAGAACATTTTTTATTTTTTAAAAACTTTTGTTTTATTAATCTAGAGATCCTGATGGAGAATGTAGTAGAACCAACCTAAAACCTTCAATAGCCTGTGATATATTGGTGGAGATGATATTCATTCTAGGTATGATGAACATTCAGTATGATTTTATTTTAGAACCAGGGGAGTCATAGTTAGTCCAACCGTTAACCGTCCCTTGTCGTAAATTAGGATTTTAGCTATTTTTCCCGTTAAAAGTCGACCTACTCAATTTAGAATCGCTAAACCATTAACATTTCTGTGGTTCTCCCGAGTACCCCAATTAAAATTTGAGACAAATCGTCCATGGGGTTCTTGAGTTATGATCGGAAACAGAGATTACTACTTTATACACACAGATATAGATTTCAACGCTTTTCTAATTTTGATATTTCTTATCTAGAAATGGTGAATTGACAGTATTTGTAAATTACATTAATACTTGTTGGGATCAACAAGAACACTTTATCTTTTTTTATTGATAACTTGACGCTAAACAAGCTGAATTGTATATTTTTAGCGAAAATTTTGAATATATTTGTTCAATTTGCGCATTTGAGAAATCAGACATGATGCGTTCATTAGAATAATCGTACAAACGGAAGTATTTTGAGTTTACTGCATGGGGAAATCGTTGTTTGGGAAGTTATGACAGGGGACATTAGTGATTGGGGAATTTGATGTTGGGGAAATTTCTGTTGGGGAACATTTCCTTGGGTAAGTTAGGTTGGGGAATTTACCTAACACCCCTTAAATAACAAATAAAAAATGAAAGTAAAATAATCCCTTCTTTCAGATATTTTTTTCAACTTCCGGATGTCTTTTATCAACAAGAAGGGAGAAGTGGTTTATAAACTCAAGGATATTGCGATCAACTACATAACAGGTTAATATTGTGATAATATTTATATAGCAGGTTAATATTGTGATAATATTTATATAGCAGGTTAATATTGTGATAATATTTATATAACAGGTTAATATTGTGATAATATTTATATAGCAGGTTAATATTGTGATAATATTTATATAACAGGTTAATATTGTGATAATATCTATATAGCAGGTTAATATTGTGATAATATTTATATAGCAGGTTAATATTGTTTCGCTACTTAGCGATTTCCCTAAAGACCTAATATATGTACCGTGTGGTATTTCTCAGGATTGGAGCGGAAGACTCCCTTCTCTCAACGCTCTTCATAATAAAAAGGAAGATAGTAAGGTTCCGAACGTTTATTTCTCTGAGCCTTCAATCTAAACAAGTTTAATAAACCCACAGAAAAAGCTTTGAGTGAAAATCATNTATATAGCAGGTTAATATTGTGATAATATTTATATAGCAGGTTAATATTGTGATAATATTTATATAGCAGGTTAATATTGTGATAATATTTATATAGCAGGTTAATATTGTGATAATATTTATATAGCAGGTTAATATTGTGATAATATTTATATAGCAGGTTAATATTGTGATAATATTTATATAGCAGGTTAATATTGTGATAATATTTATATAGCAGGTTAATATTGTGATAATATTTATATAGCAGGTTAATATTGTGATAATATTTATATAGCAGGTTAATATTGTGATAATATTTATATAGCAGGTTAATATTGTGATAATATTTATATAGCAGGTTAATATTGTGATAATATTTATATAGCAGGTTAATATTGTGATAATATTTATATAGCAGGTTAATATTGTGATAATATTTATATAGCAGGTTAATATTGTGATAATATTTATAAAGCAGGTTTGTGATGGTGTTTCATCTACAGGATGTATTTTCATCTTTAATGTTTTTATCCAACCAAATTTAACTAGTTTTACTAGCAGGATAGTGTTAATCTAACTTAAGCTTTGAGTTCTAGATATCTTAAGTAAAAATAAGATTCTATCTTAGGTTTTACTCTAATATTGTTTTTACTCTAGGCTGGTTTCTACTAGACCTGTTTGCTGCACTTCCCTTTGATCTTCTGTATGCAACCTGCCTCATTGATAACATGGTGATTCCTGAACCATAAATAGGGAAACAAGACTCTTCTATTCACACCTTGTGTTTTTTTGCACTTAACAGTTTAAAAGACAACATTTCAGGGACAGTCAGCGATCTAGGGGAAAAAGTAAAGTTTAAAATAAAGATGTCAAATAAATTCTTGATTTTTCGAACTTCCAGAGGCAAACAAATCTGAGAATTCGTTTCAGGGTAGCTACTTCTAAACTTCTCATCCATGGTTAGATATGCTCCATCTCTTTCAGGAGAGGTTATCCTGCACCCTTTGCATGATTTTACACGTCAGCTTAGGTGAGTCAATACTAGGCTTTTACCAAGTATTAGCTCCTCTTTGAAAGCACACTTTTTATTTCCTGTTATGCTAAAAGACGGGGAAAATTGTCTATAAACAACTTTTTTGTTAAATTTAAATCATCCATTAAGAGTTGTTTTTAGTTTTGATTTTAAATTCCGTAAACCCTTGCGCTTACAAAAAGTCGTTGACAAATAGCAAAGGTTGTGAATAAGTTATTAATTGTCTTTTTTTTTATCGAAAAGATGTATGTTGATATTCATTTATAATATACATTAAACATTATACAATTTGTTTTGCTTATTTCCTAAATTAAAACAGTTTTATTTAGATTTATATCTTTGCATGCAATAGATGATATAGTGGCGGTGGTCCAATAGCTGGCAACAATAGAGGATATAGTGATTGTGGTCCAATAGCTGGCAACAATATAGTGGTGGTGGTCCACTAGTTGGCAACAATAGAGGATATAGTGGTGGTGGTCCACTAGCTGGCAACAATAGAGTATATAGTGGCGGTGGTCCAATAGCTGGCAACAATAGAGGATATAGTGGTGGTGGTCCACTAGCTGGCAACAATAGAGGATATAGTGGTGGTGGTCCACTAGCTGGCAACAATAGAGGATATATTAGTGGTGGTCCAATAGCTGGCAACAATAGAGGATATAGTGGTTGTGGTCCACTAGCTGGCAACAATAGAGGATATAGTGGTGGTGGTCCAATAGCTGGTAACAATAGAGGATATAGTGGTGTTGGTCCAATAGCTGGCAACAATAGAGGATATAGTAGTGGTGGTCCAATAGGTGGCAACAATAGAGGATATAGTGATGGTGGACCAATAGCTGGCAACAATAGAGGATATAGTGGTGGGGGTCCGATAGCTGGCAACAATAGAGGATATAGTGTTGGTGGTCCAATAGTTGGTAACAATAGCGGATATAGTGGTGGTGGTCCAATAGCTGGCAACAATAGTGGATATATTGGTGGTGGTCCAATAGCTGGCAATAATAGAAGATATATTGGTGGTGGTCCAATAGTTGGCAACAATAGAGGATATAGTGGTGGTGGTCCAATAGCTGGCTATAATAGAGGATATAGTGGTATTGGTCCAATAGCTGGCAGCAATAGAGGATATAGTGGTGGTGGTCCAATAGCTGGCTATAATAGAGGATATAGTGGTATTGGTCCAATAGCTGGCAGCAATAGAGGATATAGTGGTGGTGGTCCAATAGCTGGCTATAATAGAGGATATAGTGGTATTGGTCCAATAGCTGGCAGCAATAGAGGATATAGTGGTGGTGGTCCAATAGCTGGCTATAATAGAGGATATAGTGGTATTGGTCCAATAGNAATATTTACTTTAGTTTGACGTGATGTATTATATTCTGTATAATCATTAATATTTACTTTAGTTTGACGTGATGTATTATATTCTGTATAATCATGAATATTTACTTTAGTTTGACGTGATGTATTATATTCTGTATAATCATGAATATTTACTTTAGTTTGACGTAATGTATTATATTCTGTATAATCATTAGTATTTACTTTAGTTTGACGTGATGTATTATATTCTTTATAACCATTAATATTTACTTTAGTTTGACGTAATGTATTATATTCTGTGTAATCATGAATATTTACTTTAGTTTGACGTGATGTATCTATATTCTGTATAATCATGAATATTTACTTTATTTTGACGTGATGTATTATCTTCTGTATAATGAATATTGTATTTGTAGATAAATAAAGGATTATATTCAATATTCCCAATTTTTTCCTTACAGAAAATTAATATGTATTTTGACGGTCCATAATATAGATAAAAACATATTTGTTTTGAATTCCCACTTACACAATAAACAAGACAAGCTCGTACAAGTTTTATAAGTTTAATATTTGGTATTTTGGTTGTAACCCAGCCAATTAAATAGGGTAAAATTGGCAAATTAACTTTCATGCACAAAAATACTTTTTCCATGGTAGGAAAGTAACAAATAGAAATTATTCACACCTCTAGCCGCAGCTCCTGTCTTTTATATTGTAGTAATCGGGACCCAGGGAAGGGACCAAGGGAAGGGACCAAGGGAAGACCTAAAACATCAAACTCTCAAACATTTTTTTATTTAAAAACTTTGATTGAGTGTTAATTATTAAAAAATATATGAAATCAGACTGAAGTTCTAAAACTTAATACAACTTTTTGATTTGAATCGTTGAGAAAACCAATGATTAAAACTAAAAGGAATTGTCGAAGTAACTCCAAGTGATCCACTGCAGTATAAAAACGAGTTGTATGTATGACAAAGTGAAAACTGATACTTTTTAATGCGGATATATGCAGCACAGACAATAAAGGAAATAGAGAGAATTCATTTCTTCATCACTTTCCCCTCACAATGTTTATGCAGAATGGTTTTTTTAAAGTCCTCTTATGGTCCTAAAAATAAAGAGTGTTTGAATAAAATTAACTTGTTATTCATGTAGAATAGATTTATATTTTATTCTTTTTTTTAGTCAATGTGCAGTTAAAATTATATTATGACATAAAAGAAATAGTTGTTTATAAAAATGTTATGTTTAAAAAGGCCTGTGTGTGAAGTGTATATTTATGCCTGTTTGCCTGCTTCTTTTATACTTATTTGTTTAAACCTTATTGATTATTGGAATCATTTATTTCTTGAAAGAATACATTTGTAAACATTGATAGACCAAACTAAGAGAGGGTTGATTTACTATTCCCCCCCACCCCACCCCAAGCAATTTAGACGTAGAGATTAAACATAGGAAACCGTCTGCATGAATGGATTTCGTTTTAATTATGAACGAACTTTTCTTCAGTTATCAGACAAATTTTGCACCAACTTACTGCACAAAACAAATTTCACGTGTTATTTTTCACCAAACTGTAAACTATGTACAAATTTAATAGAAAATATTTAATTAGAACATAAGAATGTTCATAGATTTGCATGCTTCATTTGGGTACACTGTACAAACAATATTGTACACTGTACATAGTTTACTGTACACTTTACACTGTACAATGTTCTAGCGCGCATAAAAGTTCATTGGTATTTTGTAATTTCACTAGCTGTAAACTGTACAGGAAAGAACAGAATACTTTTAGAACACTGTGCAGGAGGGTACAGAATACTATTAGAACACTGTACATGAGGGTTCAAAACTATTAGAACACTGTACAGGAGGGTACAGAATACTATTAGAACACTGTACAGGAGGGTACAGAATACTATTAGAACACTGTACAGGAGGGTACAGAATACTATTAGAACACTGTACAGCAGGGTACAGAATACTATTAGAACACTGTACATGAGGGTACAGAATACTATTAGAACACTGTACATGAGGGTACAGAATACTAAAAGAACAGTGTATATGAGGGAACAGAATACTAATAGAACAATGTACAGGAAGGTACAGAATACTAAAAGAACAGCGTACAGGAGGATACAGAATACTAATTATACAATGTACAGTAGGGTACAAAATAATAAAAGAACACTGTACAGGAGGGTACAGAATGATAATTGAACACTGTAGAGGAGGGATTAGAATACAAACAGAACAGTGTACAGGGGAATAAAGAATACTAATAGAGCACTGTACAGGAGGGTACAGAATACTAATGGAACATTGTACATAAGGGTATAGAATACTAATAGAACAGTGTACAGGAGGGTATAGAATACTAATAGAACAGTGTACAGGAGGATACAGAATACTAATAGAACACTGAACAGGAGGGTACAGAATTCTAATTGACCACTGTACAGCAGGGTACAGAATACCATGAAGACATGTCCAATATGATACAAAAACTGTAAATCAATCTAAATCTTATTTATATCATATTGTTTTATTTAACTAGGACAACTTCACATCTGTGGATATTCTAAAATTGACCCGTCTAGTTCGTCTGGCAAGGTTTATACAAAAGATGGACAGGTATTAATAGAAAACACTACATTCGTCGTCGTATATGAAAAAAACAATGAAGACGACTTTCATTTTTTTCAATTTTTATTTCTACCAAGCTTTAAAATAGTAGAGACACATAAAAATGTAAAGAAAGAGAAGTTTTAAAAAAAAACAGCAATTCAATTTCAATTTGTAAAACGATTGTTAGGAACCACAGCATTATTGATAAAAGTCGTTTTAAATGTATTGATATTAACGCCGACCAATTTACATAATTTTTAAATTCATAATAAAGAGGTAATTTAATTTCTCCTTATCCTCCCCTCTTTCTACATTCTTAACTATTTAACCTATTCCTAAACTTTAAATTATTGTAGGGGGGGGGGGGTATTTAAAGTCGTCTTGCTAAGTTCATGCTTCGTGGGACACCCTGGATCATACCTTGCAGGTCACTCCTTTTCAGAAAGGAAAATTTTCAAAATATATCAAACAAAAACTTTTCTTCATTATTTAATAATATATTTTTCTGGCTTTGTTTATCTTTGATCCATGTTATTATTAGGTTGTCCCAGTACAGTGCAGTTATATTAACAATGTTAATGATATTTTTTGGATTTATTGCTCACTGGTTAGCCTGTATCTGGTTTGTTATTGGAGTAAACCACACAGAGGAACATCCAACAGGTAAATGTCGTCTTTAGGGGAAATTATTTACACATAAAAAATAGTTTGTGCCATAGTTTTAGTCCTTATAGTCTGTATTACGTCACAAGAACATCAGCCAATGGCAGTGCGGTATACTGGTCACGTGATTTCCGTCTGTATCACGTGACAACGATACTTCACACTGCCATGGGCTGAAGTTCCCGGTGACGTAATACAGACTTTAAGGACTATATGTAATAATATTATCAATAATATGTATTAAAAATGCAAAATAAAAATTAAAAAATTATAAATGGAGCAAACCTGAGATTCTCAGGCTCCTGTGGAATATCGTTGTTTTCAGATTGGTTGCGTATTTGTAGAATATGATCTGTTTAATACTACAACTTTTATACAAAATTTCATATATATGAATTTTCGTATAAATTTGACACAGTTTAATATCAATATCTCGAGACAGGAACATAAGATAGATGTCTTATATGTATCATTCAACGCCTGAGATTCTCAGGTTTCATAATATACCCCCTTTCATTTTTCCTTCCCACTTACAGTCCCTCTAAAGAGACTGCCTCTGTAATTTTACGCGACCTTCCTTTTCAAGAGAACCTTTTTCTGATTAATAAAGAAGAAGATATCTTTGTTTTTCTATCTTAAAAACATGTTTTACAGAAAGCTATAACAATTGAAAAAAAACTTTGATCTTTTTTTTCCGACAAGATTTGGTTGTAAATTGTACATGCCACTGTATAAATAAAGAGCTACATGAAATTACATTTACAGTCCCCTAAATCTGGATTTTGCTAGGTTGGATGAAACAACTGGCAGCGGAAAATGATTTGGAAAATATAACAATGGTACCAAAGGTAAATAAATCTACAATAATTCGGTGGCACAACGAAAGCAAGTTGCGGAGGGGATTATTGTGGTGGGAAAGTTAGAATTTTTAAAATGAAAGAAATTTCAAAGAAAACTTTTTAAAATTAACGAAGGAACTTGTGCTTTCTGTCAAAAAGTCATCCTTTAAACATTGACCCAACATATAACTTTCATATTCATAAATTAAGATGAATAATTTTCCAGATGGATTCCTACATAACAGCTCTGTACTTCACGTGTACCTCCCTGACAACGGTTGGGTTTGGAAATGTTGCCGGAAACACGAGGATAGAGAAATTGTTCTGTATCTTTGTCATGTTCGTAGGAGGTAAAAGTAAACCCCATAATCCCCGAAATCCAAATGCAATTTGTTAAATTTCAGCTCTAATGCACGCGACTATATTTGGAAATGTTGCCTCTATAGTTGGTCGAATATATGTTCGGAGACAAGAATACGACAGAAAGGTAACTATACTGAAATTCTCCAATATTTCACGATGTTTATTCTACTTACTGATTTAAATTTTAAGCTAAACCTACGATAAATCCAGAAACTAATTCTGAGACCGATTTTTATGAATTTGAGGAATCGCTGATGGGCATTGTTTAGATAAATCGTGTCCGGATTGACATTGATAGTTTATGGTTTAGATATCATGTCCGTATTGACATTGATAGTTTATGGTTTAGATATCATGTCTGTGTTGACATTGGTAGTTTATGGTTTAGAGATCATGTCCGTGTTGACATTGATAGTTTATGGTTTAGAGATAATGTCCGTGTTGAAATTGATAGTTTATGGTTTAGAGATCATGTCCGTGTTGACATTGATAGTTTATGGGTTATAGGATCGTGTCCATGTTGACATTGATAGTTATGGTTCAGAGATAGTGTCCGGATTGACATTAAAAGTGAAGTGTTATTGAACTGATTAGCTCTTATGCCTCGTAGACCAGCAAGAGGGATTGAGTTGTTCCTTGATTGATACGGGTCTTAGAGACTTTTATGGAGTAGGGCATTTACTACGTGTTTACCGCCGGTTTAAAATTAAAATCACCATCCTACCTAAATCTTTAACTTTAAATTGGTGATTCAAATTTGAACCGGCATTAGGTTGTTCAGCGACCTATCAGTGATTCATTAATTCCGGTCCTTTATTTTGTAATGCAAGTATGAGGGAAAACGAATTTAGACTTAAGAAAAGCGTTTGATAAAACAGAAAAATAATTTCAGATGTTGGATTTAGACCATTTTGCAAAGATCCACAAAATTCCGAAAGATATTCGACACAGGTAATACTTCCATTGTTTTGTATGACCTTCAAGGGACTGTTATCGTATTTCAAAGTGAACCTCTATGCAAAGATGACAATGCCCGATTCACAACATTACCCTTAAACCATTATCTGACTGATAATGTGGAAAGTATTCTCGTAATGGATATCTAATTCATTCTAAATCAGACAAAGCTTTTATGGGTTCTGTTCGCAATCGGGCATTTCCATCATTACACGGAAAGTCACTTGAAATTTTGCTTACAGTCCCTTAGAGATACAAAAAAAATAATTAAATCCATTTACCACATACAGAGCGTCCCATATCATATTAGATTATCTCCAAGGTTTAACACCTAAATAAAACCATAATACTAGAAAAAACTAGTATTTTCCGCAAGAATATTGTTATTTTAGCCTTATTCAATTTTTTAAAATGATTCATCTCCAAGGTTTAACACCTAAATAAAACCATAATACTAGAAAAAACTAGTATTTTCCGCAAGAATATTCTTATATTAGCCTTATTCAATTTTTTAAAATTATTCATTCTTCTTAAATTTTCTGATTAGTCCCGAAAATCGTAATTTAGACCTATTGACGATCTAATATGATGTGGGACACCCTGTATATTACCACACTGTGTATATCATGCAAATTGTAAATTTTGAACCTATTATTTAACTGATAAATTACAAGAAAGCATTAAAACAAGTAATAAGTAAAGTATTAATAAATTAAAATGAATTATTATAATTAATATTTAAATCGAATTTCAGAATGGAGGATCATCTTCAGACTAAATGGTTTTTCAACAATGGAATAAATTACGAGGTTTCGACCAGAATATTTTCTAATTGTTATCTTGTTTAATCGCTGCAATTAATTAACAAATATGGGATTAATTACTACATCGTACTTCCGGTCACATGGATTTATACTTCCGGAAATGATTTTTTTACAATTTGCCACTAAGGACTGTACATATCTAGATATCTGCTGAGTATCCTAACTGTACATATCTAGATATCGGCTTAGTATCCTAACTGTATATACCTAGATATCTGCTAAATATCCTAACTGTACATATCTAGATATCGGCTAAGTATCCTAACTGTACATATCTAGATATCGGCTAAGTATCCTAACTGTACATATCTAGATATCTGCTTAGTATCCTAACTGTACATATCTAGATATCTGCTGAGTATCCTAACTGTACATATCTAGATATCTGCTTAGTATCCTAACTGTACATATCTAGATATCTGCTAAGTATCCTAAATATATATCTACATATATGCTTTGTATCCTAACTGTAGATATCTAGATATCGGCTAAGTATCCTAACTATATCTAGATATTTGCTGATCATCCTAACTGTAAATATCTAGATATATGCTGAGTATCCTAACTGTACATATCTAAATAAATGCTGAGTATCCTAACTGTACATATCTAAATAAATGCTGAGTATCCCAACTGTACATATGTAGATATCTGCTTAGTATCCTAACTGTACATATCTAGATATCAGCTGAGTATCCTAACTGTATACATATCTAGATATATGCTGAGTATCCTAACTGTTCATATCTAAA